TTAGGCATACATATAATCCCGTCAAAAAGCGAAGAAAGGCACGCAATCCTGCACACAAAGTTATAGCAAATTCATCACGAATTTATTTGTCTAAAGATGAAATTTATCAGAAATATATACATCCGCACCTGGTTCATTTAATGCCGGGCAAACAGTTTCATTAATATGCAACTGAACCTCAAGCCCTAAGGGACTGTTTTGCTCTGTCCTCTGCACTGTTATCTGAACATAATTATGAGTCAGATTATAAATATAGTGTCCCAGATACCCAAAAAGAAAAGAGTTCGCCCATGCACCAACTTCTATTTATAATAAAAACAAATTTATCAAGGTATGTAAAAAAGTGAATTTTGTGCATCTTTTGGAAACTAAAAATATATCTGTGCATTACATGAGCCTCTCCTGAGATTCCTTCTAGAAAACGTTCTCCACCAAAAAAAACCCTTTTTGCACCATCATCATCTCTCAGATTTGCTCCCTCTTGAGATCTTGCCAAGTTAGCATCAGCGAACATATCAGGATGAGGCAGAAGATCAACAGATAAAGCTCCCCACTCAAGTTTCTGGCAAGAAATGATAAAGCATCACTAAATACTAATGCACAAATCAGCAACATATTAACAAAGTAAAAAAGAAGCCAAAACCCAGACACTTACAAGAATTTCTGCGAAAACCAGAAATACATATGTCAGTAACAACAATTTCATTCAGCATGTTACATCAGACATGAAGATCTAAACCTCCAAACCCCCAACCAAAAAAAAAAGAAATAAAGAAAGAAAACAACTGATTAATTTTGTTTCCGTATACAACCTACCTTGAAAACATATATAAACCCTTTGTTAGAAGAATAGTCCCTTGCCTCCTTAAGATTAACAACCTGCAATGGAAAAAAGAGAAGAAAGCGAATAAGCAGTTGTTCTTAAGAAAGCTTAATGAGATAATATCAAAATACTCTTGAGGAATTACCTGCCATTTTTCATTTGTTGTACACAGAAAAAGGTTGCGGATGGTGATAGACGCTAGAGGCGATGCCCTAAAAGTAGAACACAATTAGATGTTCACGTGGACTTTTGACCGTAGAAAAAGTTGCCACATCAACATACAACATCCATACAAAAGGGGTTTATCTTTGCAAATGGGAAATTTTATCCAATAATAAAGATCAATTTAATACAGAAAGCCCAATATCTAAGCCGAATCAGGGTTGAAATTCTCCAAACAGCAGAACATTAAAAACTAATTGCCATGAAGAAGGATGTGAAAAATTCAATAGAGTTTAACCACAGAGATATATTTTTGGTCATTTTGGTAATATTTAAAGGTTGCATTAAATAACTACAGAAACCATATAGCAAAATGGCAGCAGGGAAAATTTTAATACTTCAGAAAGGCCAGCTAGAGCTTAAAATGCTCATAGAAGATTGCGGGTCCAACAAACTCCTTCAATCTATTCATTTCAAAAGGAACCAAACATGAAATGTAAAACAAAGCATCAATTTAGAGAATGATCTACGACTAAACATACAAGATCAAACATTGACTAAGAAGAAGAAATCATATTTAAGTGAATTAAAACAGCTAATATGCAGATAATTATGTTTCGACACTGCATGTAAATAGATAGCTCGATACAAGATATTTGCTTTAGGCAAACACCTAAGGAACTTACCAAGCTGCTCCTCCTTTCCTGTGAGCACCCCCACGAGTTTCAAGAAGAAGGTTGACTGTGCCAACCTGTAGACTCATTCCATCTGCAATCTGATAATTGCAAAAATTAAATGTATAATTGCGGCATCCGAATATAGAATATATAATAAACATCCAAGTAAAGGTTCATCCACAAATTATATTTTGTAGTACCACATCACTTTTTAAGTAATAATAACAGGAAGCCCATAAAAGTTGTAAGCACAAAAATTAAGACAAGGATGGAACAAGAAATCCCCTTTCATCTGGGAAAATGAATTTACATAAAGTAATTCTAACTTACGCTGCTTGATACTGGGCCTAAAACATGCATACAAACAACACAGCTGATATTACAATATCATACTGGAAATTCTACATAAATAAATCTACGTCCATTTACCTGATTGTATCAATAAGTATCACAAGAAATTTCACGCTGTGGTATGTGATATGAACTTGCTCTTAGATGCTTCCCTGGGTTAGAGGTGGATCTATTTTATAATGAAGATCTTTTAGAATTCAAGGAATTTCCAGAAAGAAAACTTTCTGCAGTTCTGCATAACTCTATTTTTTTCTTTCAAGGCAAAATCATCTTCTAAAACGTATGTTAACTCAATTCGATAGTTTGCAGCTAGCACCACAAAGAGAATAAAACTAACAAACAATCACATGATAAGTTCTTAATTTTCTTTTTCATCAACAAATACTATAGCTACTGAATCTTACTACAATCTGTTGCATAGCAGCAGCCTGAGCAGAATCTAACCTTATCAGCAAATCCATAACCACTACTCTTCCCAGAGCTTGCAGATGATTGGGCACTGCAAGTGAAAAATGAAAGCAAAAGCTGTCAGCTAAGACCACAGGCATTACTTTATGCTTAAATAAAATGATTTATGAAACTTAACCTTAAGATAGTAAGTTCCATTACCTGCTGGGACTCTTACATGCTTCCATATCTTGGTTCTCCTCCAAAACCAAATCAAGCTTATCAATTTGCACAACTATTGGCTCGACTTGTACATTGCTTACATAAGGAAGCTATAAAGTAAACAAGTTATCTTACATAAATTTGACAACAAAGAAGGGAAGAAACCCAGCTCTATAGCTAAAATACAGAAATTAAAGAAAAAATAAGGACCATCTTAACCATAACGTGCTAACACTTTATTTGCAAGTGATAGAACATAAACCACTTGATTCAGTCATTTATAACAACCTCGATAACTCGAAGTTCCAATTTCGCAAGAAAGAAGCAGATGGAGAATTTAACACTTTCTCCTATCATTGTATTCAATTTTTCTGGTGAGCTAAAGATTTGAACAAGAGAATTAATCAAAAACAAAAAGAGAAAAGGCTACGTGTGAATTTTCTTGTTGTCGAAAATAACCACCGCAATCATTTTAGTGTTTTGCAGGTTCCTAAAATTCCTTATTCAGTCGAATTTTCCACTTTTTGGAACTGAAACAAAATACCACATTTAATTCCTTTCTTTTTAAATCACGATCCTAGTGTTTTTCAGCAACCATAAGAAACATCAATTAACAAAAGCAAGTGAAGAACTCTCCCCAAAATCCTAGTACACGCCAAAATTATTAAAATAATTCCAGAAATGATTAAAATGATCGGCTTAATTTTAGCCAAAATCATCTACTCGACAACTCCACACTCCACATTCGTCTTCTTGTAATTGCCTCACTCCTCTCAGCAGCACATTCAAGTAAACTAATTGCCACTGTAAGAACAACCTGATCATCCACTACGATCCAAAATTTCAATTTTTTTTTTAAGAGAGAGAGAGAGAAGTAGAAATAACCAACCATAATCTCCAATTTTCCAACTCTTGCGGTTGTGACATTTAACGCCGGCGGTAGTCCCATACTCGCATGCAACGCGTCCCCATTGATGTCTATCAAACGATTTCAACAAAATCACCAAACAAAAAAAAAAATCACTATATGCACCACTAGAACAGAAATATCACGAAATTTAGACAATTAAGCCGGAATCTACCCAAATTGGAAAGTTGTACAGTACGGCCTTGCAGCTTGAACTGATCTCTGGAGAAGGATTTAAGCCAGTACTTGAGAGTGTACTCCAAGGCGCGTGCCAGTATCGACTCCATTGCTCCGTCGTGTCCCGAACCTTCCTCGACACTAGATCCGCGATCACATCAAAATCTGAAAAACCGTTTGCCTAAACTTGAAGTAAGAAATGCAAAACCCTAACGTAGAATTGGAGAATTTGGGAGCGATAGCAATGAGAGCATTCCTTCTGGTGGGGTTCTGCCCGAGTGTAAAATACTAAAATTAGCCTCCCTGTTTCAGGTCGGAAGGAATCTTAGGACAGGGAAAAGGATGGCAGGCTCGCACGTGCGATGTCTTGGCGTGGTTTGATTGAAACGTGTGGCACGTGCGAGAGAGGGAGAAACGGTGATTTGGTAATTATGGCTCTGTGCGTCGCATTGGATCTTGGCGCTGCGTCAGTAGAGGATTTGTCAGTTTGTCTTAAGGTCCAATTTTTCTTTTCATTTGTTTTATTTTCTTTAAATGAAAATTCTTAAATTAATAATTATGAATTTTAAGTAATAATAAAGGTAAATAGGTAATTATACAGAATACTTTATTATATTTTAATAATTAATAATTAATATATCATTTTTAAAAATAATAATGATATCCGGTAACTTTCATCATAGCCAAAGTTGCATTTCAAAGATATCTATTTGAGTGAGTTGTTTAAATGGATCGGATTGAATATTTGGGCCTGGGGTGATCCAAGGCCCACGGTCCATTCGGGTATGGTCCATGTGACATATTACAATGGGTTGCGTTTCGGATTCATAAAAACCACAAAAATAGAAAGAGAGAAATGTGAAGCAAGAAATGAGCCATTCCCCACAAGAATCAATTAATCAAAGAATGAGGAGGCTTGGATTTTTTTTTTAACAATAATTTCCTATTAATCGCTAAACAAATTTTGATTAAAAAATATTTTTAGTAAATAATTATTCTAATAATATTTTTAAAGCTTATAGTATAATTTACGATCGTTCTAAATACTCGTTTATTAGTTTATGTTTTGACCGACTTGCTAAGTTTATAATGTTTTAAATTTTAATTATATTAAATAACTTATTTTTTGTATTTAAAAAAATAACTTTATTTTATAGCTTAAAAGGACTTAAATATTTTTAATTATTGAAAAAATAATTAAAATTAATATTTATTCACATTTATTTGAAATTACTTATATTTGTAATTGGTATTTTTACTTTGAGATAATTCATGGTAAAAATAGTAAATTTGATTTTTGTAATTAATTTTTTTAAAAACAAAATTGGTGATTATAAAAAATTTCCAAATAAATTGTAATACCCGAAATTTTATTTGTAATATTTAAATTAATATATATAATTTAAATTTTATTTTTTATTTTTTTAATTATTATTTAATGTAAAAAATAGAGAAAATTAAACTCGATGATAAAATTGAAAACAAATTTGAAAAAAATATGTAAAAATTTGGGTTCTGGAAGTATTTTCGAAAGAAAATTCAGAAATTGGGGGTCGAAACATAATTTAAAAAAATTGTGTCACATAGGACGCTCAGTCAGCAGACCCGACGAACTGAAGCGCGCTGTGTGGCAAGGGACGCTGATGCAATACCACGCGGGAGGCCACACTGGCGACCCACCTGCCCGCGATCGAACGGTCCAGATTCGTTCCCGCGCGCACTAACGGTCTGGATACGTTCCATCCCCATACGCGATCGGACGGTCAGATTTTAACGTGATGAATGGTCCAAATCCACTTCCTATTTAAATGCGATCAGACAGTCCATACTAAATAGCGATGAATGGTTCAAATTCTCTCCCTATTTAATCGCGATCAGATAATCCAAATCAAACGCGATAAACAATCCATATTAAAAGGAGAATGATATAAATAACTTTTTTCACACCAAACTTTAACCCTAACCGCATGACCCCCCCCCCCCCCCTCCCCCGCGCTGGAGAAGAAGACGTAGCCGCCGGGAAGGAAGCCGACCGTCATCGCCGCCACGCTGGAGGCACTTCCGACCGTCAAAAGAGGTAAAAAAATTTCTTTTACTTGAAATTCAATTTTAAACACCCTCATTGTCAAATTGGAGTAAAAGGACCAGCGGATTGGTCGGAAACTGCGAGTAAAGCCCCTCGGCGCAGCAGCGACAAAATAAAAAAAAAAACACCTCCGATGAGGCCCTTCCCGATTCCCGTTCTGCATAATTCTTCCACTATTGTAATCATTGTTTTCTTCTCTATAGGTTGACCGAAGTAAAACACCCAACCGCAAAGGTGAGCTAGCGGAGTTGCCGCACCGGAGAACCCTGCCGCCGGTAAGTTTTGATTTTTTAATTTTTTTTGAGCCAACCAAGACCCCTTAACGTGTTTTCTCGTAGGAATTGATACAAAATCTGCTGAATTTGGCTAAAAACAGCCAACTCGAGGTAAACCACCGCCGCAATTAATAAGAATACGGGCATCAATTTGAGTAAGAATCTCTCACCTTATTCTCTTTTATAGAATTGAAGTCTAATTAATAATAATACGATATTTTTTATATTTTAAAAAAATCCATAATTAATTAAGATTACTAATGGAGTTAGAATCGAAAGTTATTTACTGTTGATCCTGTTGATTAATTTTTACAGTTTGAATGCATAATAATACCTTATTGATTGATTTTGTAATTTGAATGCATGTATTGCTTGTTTTATGTTATTACGGTTGAATTGGAAAAATAAAAATTAAAGATAATCGAAAAATTATTTGATTAAATGAATGGATGAAAAAGCAGTCTTATTGGATATCTTAGGAGATGGTCGATGAACCGAGTATATAAGGAACCCTACCGTGAACATTGTCTCATACCGAACAGGGTATCGAGATTTGGTAATTTGGCACTCATACCGAATGGGGTATAGAGACGGACCGTTTCACCCTCATACCGGATGGGGTATTAAAGTTTAGTAATTTGGCACTCATATCGAACGAGATATAGGGACGTCTCGTTAATTATAAATGTTAAAAAAAATGGTTCACGCATTGTGGGGACATATGTAACTGCCCCGGAAATGACCAGATAAAATATATAATAACTTAAGTGTGGAAGCAAAATAAAAGGTTAAGCTTTACATTTCTTACACAATAACTTAAAAGTACTAAACAGTATTATGGAATTCATTCTTTGAAAGAAACACGAGAAATAAGGAAACAAACGAAAAATAAAAAATATCTAGCATCTACTTGCAATTTTCTTGTGGATTAGACTTTGAAACCTGGTCCTCTTGATCTGAAATAGTTAAATAAAGAGTGAGCTACACTAGGCCAATAAGGATATCACACTATATCACCGACACATAAGTAAATATTAGTATAAAATCAAAAACTATTAATTGAGCATTAAACTTAGCAAATTCATTTATCAATCATAAAATCATTATCGTTCACTTACCATCGTGGAATTTATGAAAACAACATGTAAGAACAATAATATCATACAGACCAATATCTCATGCATAATCAATCATCATAATACATGTTATAAATTCATATCCATTATCAATAAACTAAATAATAACTACCACTTTTTTCACCAGTCTGCTAGTATCCATGGGGGTTCATAGGGATGCCTCCACTACACGTGAACCCTTTCATTTATCATTCTTAATTATGGGTCGTCCTCATACCCCCTCCGGTATGAGCGCCAATTTACCAAACCTCAATACCCCGTCCGGTATGAGGGTGAAGCAGGTCATCCTCATACCTCATCCAATATGAGCGCCAAATTATCAAGTCTTTATACCCCGTTTGATATGAGACAACGTTCACAGTAGGGTTCTCTACGTACCCGGTCCGTCCACCATCTCCTAGGATATTCAGTAAGACTGTCGTTTCATCTAATCATTTAATCACACAATTTCTTTACCGTTTAAACTTCATTTTTTTTTATTCAGTAGTAAACATGTAAAATAAACCATATATGCGTTGAAGCCATAAAATAAATAAATAAAATACCATCATACAGGTAAACTGAAAAAAATAATCAACAACAACAGTAGATAATTTTCAGTTCCGGCTCCATTAGCAACCTGTAATTAATCATGCATGTTTACTTAAATCGCATAAAATACCATATTATTATTTATTTAAACTTCAATTCTATGATAGAGAATAGGGTGAGAGATCCTTACTCAATTTGACGTCCGAAAAGCTAAACTGTTTACTGCGTCTACAGGTGATCCCTAAGTTCCCTGAATTTTTCTCCAGGAACTGAAACACATTAATAGTACCTACAAATGTTCCAAATAAACCCAAAATCAGTCACAGGGCCCACTTGGCTAATTTTGAAAATTCGGCACGACGGCTCGGCCATGCTTTGGCGCCGATCCACCTCGGGTCAACAGTTTTTGACCATTTTGGCTGAATTTGGCAGATTTTGCATCGATCCCTGCGAGCAAACATGTTAAAGGGTCTCAGTTGGCCGGAAAAATACGAAAAATCAAAACTCACCAGCAACAGGGCTCTCTGGTGCAGCGGCTCCTCCAGCTCACGTTACGGTTGGGTGTTTTACTTTGGTCAACGTATAGAGAAGAAAATGATGATCACAACGGTGAAAAAATTACGCAAAATAGGAATCGGGAATGGCCTTATCGGATGCATTTTGTGAAATTTCTCGCGGCGGTGCCACCAGGCTTCACCGGTGTTTTCTGACTAATGGCCAGTCTTTTTGTTTTGATTTGGCCATGGGTGAGCTTAAAATTGAATTTCGTGCAAAAGGAGAAGTTTTTACTTTTTTTAGCGGTCGGAAAGGGTTCCGGTGCGGCAGCAGGTGACGACGGCCGGCTCTCCGGCAGTTGGGTTGTCTTCTCCGGCGAGGGGTTCTGGCGGCTAGGGTTAGGATTTGATATGGATGGAGGTTANNCCTCCATCAATTTTATTTCATTTTTTTACTCTAAATTAAATAAAACAAAATACAATAAAATAAAATAAATTAATAAAAATTATATTCATTAATTATTTAATTAAAACAAAAAATTTGTGGGTGTTACAACATATCTATGGACCCCCATGGATACCAGTAGGCTGATAAAAAAAAAATGTTATTCTAACCGACTGCATATGAAATTATGATATTTGTTATATTATTGCCTCTATAGGTTATTTTTATAAATCTCGCTATGGTAAGTAGACGGTAAATGATTTTATTTATGATAAATGATTTTACTTAATTAAGAATTTTATTAGTTATTTTTATGATTTCTACCAACTTTTATTTCTGTGTCGGTGAGTAACGTGATATTCTTACTGGGCTAGTATAGCTCATTCTTTCATTAACCATTTCAGATCAAGATGACCAGAATCCAGAGTCCGATCCACAAGAGGATTGTGAGTAAGACATTCAGTTTATTTACTTTTAATTTATTTCCTTGGTTATTAGTTGTTCTTTTAGAATGATTATTCCCGTAAGCTATATTTGATACTTTCAGTTATTATGTAAGGAATTTAAACCCTAACTATTTATTTTACTTCAGTACTAAATTTATAATTTATTTCCTTTATAATTTCTGGGGTCGTTATAATTGGTATCAGAGTCGCGTTCATCGGAACCATTCATTGCACAAAATCTTTAATAAGCACAAAAAATAATGAATTATCACTCAACCGTTCCTTGTGAAATGTAAGTACAAATAGATGAGGAAAGGAAGACCTCCACTAAACCGAGCTGTGCAGGAGAGTTCGCTTTGAGAGGATGTTGACCGATTATTTGAGATACTTGAGAGACTCATTGCTGCCCAACAAGCCTAGGAGGAAATGAGGGAGCTACCTGACCCTCCTCCGTTGCCATAGGTTGAGTCACCCCTGCAGCGAGAGGATCTCGAGCCACCCCAGTATGACCCTGTTTCTCCATAGTACCACCCGGCACCACCTCAATATGATCTGGTGTCCCAGCCACAGTACCACCCGACACCACCACAATATGACTCGGTGCCCCAACTGCATCACCTGACACCACCATAGTATAATCTGGTGCCTTCATCGTATCATGTAGTACCACCACAGGGCCATCCAGTCCATCCTCAGCATAGTCTAGCCCCTCTTCCACGAGATCCAGTTCCTCCCATGATGGACCAAAGCTATATTGAGATGTATAAAATATTAAACTCATCTACATTTGCAGGGGGGATCTTCCTTTGAAGAGGTCGAGTACTATTTAGTTGAGGCAGAGAAGACTTTCACGACTCTTGGGGTGACTCCCAAACAGAGAGTCATACTTGCCATCTACATGCTAGTGGGAGAGGCAGACTGCTGGTGGCAACTCAAGTAGGCCACCATGCCCATTCTGATCACTTGGGAACAATTTTTGATGGCTTTCAATGCAGAGTACCTTCTAAAGCATCTCTGACATATGAAGAAAAAGGAGTTTGCTCATCTGATCTGAGGTGACATGACTGTATCAGAATATACTCGAAAGTTCTTAGAGTTAGGTAGGTAGTCTCCTGAGAGCATGATATATGAAGGCAAGAAGGTAAGAAGGTTCGAATGGGGTCTCTGTCCTGAGATCAGACAGTAGTTGTATGTGTTCGAGCTCAGTACTTACTCGGTTGTTCTGGCCAATGCATAGTTGGTGGAGAGAAACCTTCGCATTTTTTCTCCAACAGTAGGGAACCTTAGGCCCTCGGCTCCACACTGCAGACTAGCACCTACTGCACTTATTCAACAGAACAAGAGACCCAGGCCGATGACTCAGGCTCCCCCTCAGGTTCCAGCAACAGGACGCGATAGGACCTGTCAGCACTGTGGCAAGAATCATGGGGACGGACCCTACTATCGCCTCAATAACACTTGCCGCATATGTGATAGTGCCCAACATTATGCAAGGGAGTGCCCGATGAACCAGAACCAGACCAAACCTCCTATCAAGGGCAGAGCTTATAACCTCACTCAGCATGATGCAGAAGCCAACTCGAACGTGGTACAGGGTACGTACCCTACATGTAACCATCTTGCACATGTTTTAATTGATACCGATGCCTCGTATTCATTTGTTTCACATATTTTTGCATCAAAATTAAATGTATTCATTTGTTGTATTATTCAACAGCCTTATTGGATATCTGATAGATATTGGACGAACTGAGTACATAGAAAATTCTACCGTGAACGTTACCTCATACCGGACGGAGTATCGAGGTTTGGTAATTTAGCACTCATACCAGACAGTGTATGGGACGGCCCGTTTTACCCTCATACCGGATGGAGTATTGAGGTTTAGTAATTTGGCACTCATACCGGATAGGGTATGAGGACGGTTCGTTAATTGGAAATGTTAAAGGAAATGGTTTACGTGTTGTGATGACATACTTGTGGACCCCCATGGATACCAGTAGCCTAATAAAATAAAAAATTGTTATTCCAACCGATTGTATATGAAATTATGATGTGTGTTATGTTATTACCTCTATATGTTGTTTTTGTAAATCTCGCTACGATAAGTAGATGGTAAATGATTTTATTTATGATAAACGATTTTGCTTAATTAAGAGCTCTATTAGTTATTTTTATGATTTCTACCAACATTCATTTCTGTGTCCGTGAGTAGTGTGATATTCTTACTGAGTTAGTGTAACTTATTCTTTCATTAACTATTTCAGATCAAGATGATTAGGATCCAGAACCCGATCTACAAGAGAATTGCGAGTAGCACATTCAGTTTGTTTACTTTTAATTTATTTCTTTGGTTGTTAGTTATTCTTTTAGAATGGTTATTCTCGTAAACCTCATTTGATATTTTCATTTATTGTGTAATGAATGTAAATTCTAACTATTTATTTCGCTTCCGCACTAAATTTATAATTTATTTCTTTTAGAATTTCCGGAGTCGTTATATAAGTTAAGTTAAATTCACAAAGACATAAAACTATGTCAATATCATCATATTTTTTAAATAGATTTTAGAAAAATAAGTGACCCACATTTTTATTATTATTATTGTAGAATCTATAAAGTATTAATATTATAAGTATAGTTGGCATGTTGTGGTGATATCATCAAACATGGATGCAAGTATTCTTCATGTTGATCCACATTATCAAGACGGTATTTGTTTGTCTCTTTTTTAAATGGGATTTTGTATTTTCTAATATTTTAAATATAAGATTATTTTTATTTTATTTGTATTTGTAGTGAATATATATAGTTTTAGTATATACAGATGAATTGTAATATTTAAATTATAAGCTACAAAATTTTAATAGTAATAATTCAAATATTACTATAGTATTTTAATATAATTATTTAATTATACATTATTTTTTTATTATAATATAATTGATAAATAATATATATAAGTCTGCTATCAATTTGTTTTATTTTTTAAAAAATTATGTTGTATTTAATATAATAATACGTAATAATTATTTATTTAAATATTTTTTAAAAAATAATTATGTAATTATAATAATATTACTATACGATTAATTTATAACTGAATATAAACTCTAGAATTATTCACAATATAAACACTTAATCATTTATGTTCTCTCACCATTCTAATCATTATATAAATATTTCACCAAAATTAGTGATAGTAAATTTTTTTATATTTTAATTATAATTTTACTTATTTTTGTATAAAATTTATTCATATAAAATAATATTATATTATTTTTATATAATTATAAAATTATTGCGTGCAAAATACAAATGTACAAATTTAATAATATAAATAATTCAAATTCAAATTCTAAACTATTCATCTGGGTAACAAGTGACACCCACCCAGATAAAACCTAATCATAAGCTAATATATAGATAAATGAGTTAATATATTTATTAATTAAATAATATATATTAATTATATTATAATATAAATAAATTTTAAAAATATCACACGTTTAAAATTACAATCTATTATAAAAGAAAGAGCTTAGATCTCATCTAACTTAAGCTGGCAGCTATAATATATTCATATACATAAAACATATGTGTTTGTGCATGGCAAAAGTTGCAAGAATAGTATATAGTACATACTAAATATATGCTGCTTTTGTTGGGTGTTTCATTTTAATCTCTGCTTTATTTAATGATTTCCAGCTAAATGATAAGAAAGCTTTTGTTTAGGAATTGAGATGTGAAAGAACCACACCTCAAAAGTTGATAGACAACTGCCACATCTATACGTGCTTTATGTGTTCAAATTATAAAATTTTTATACCGTAATTTACCAATTATTTATTTAATAAATAGTTATTATTTTTTATTATAAATTTAAATGTTAAATTATATTTTTTATTTTTTTAAAAAAATTATATTACTATTATTATTATTATTATTTTCTGTGTAAATATTATTTAATCTTTATACTAACATTTTATATCAAATCAATTTAGAAATTAATTTGTTTTTTTTTTAAAAAAAAAAAATTCTTCATTGCCCGGTGACCCAGCGAGAAGTCGACGACAAGAAGAAAACGGAGTCATATTTTATCGCAAAAATATCGGGAGAAACTGAATATTGAAACTAGTCATGACTGACAAGAAACGTACAGTTTCCCGACGATCTAATTCCCTCGTCATCCACGGAACATTTAATTTCATGATCAGAAGATCTGGACCGTCCGATCTTCACCAAATCGTCACGTATCTCGAATTTCGCACGCATGATTGGAGAGTCGTTACGCGCTTTGTTTACCCAGCACGTGCGCATGAGGAAATAATTTATTAATATTTTTATTAAATTTATCGTTTCTGTAAATTTTTTTGTTTATATAAAAAATATTTATATTAATTTTATTTATATTTGATGTAAAAAATTTTAAAAATTAATTTCACTTGGGAGAAGACGCGAGGGGATGTTTGGTTCAACAACAAGTGAACCAAAACCAAACTGAAAAGCAAAGAAATTAAAAAATAATAAATAATTATTTTAAAGAAAAATATGGATGCAAACAGTAGAGACGTAATGGGAGACTCTTTTTTTTTTTTTTTCGGCGACCGAAATATGTTTTTTTTTTAAAAAAACACAAATATTTTTCTTTCTTCTTCATTATCCAATCTCTCTCCTTCTCCTCGGATCTCTCCTGAATTTACGTTTCGAAAACCCTAAACATCCTTCGTGATCATCTTCATTCAAATTTTTTCAGATTAATTTCCTATCCCAATTTGATTCAAATTATTTGTTTTTGTAAAATTTTAAAATTATTTTATTGCAAAAATTACGATAACTAGCTTGGTTTAGTAGAGTATCAAAGCTTTAATCCTTTCATTTTTAATTCTTTCCTTCTTTTTTTTTTTTTTGGAGTTGGATTGTAGCTTCAATCTTTTGATATTTGATCATCTGTTCCAGTGTAGAAGGTTTTTCTTTTTTGAATTTGTACTTTCCCAAAGCAAGTTTGATTGCGTTTGTGTGGTTTTTGTTTTTTAGAATCAGCAGCACAAAACGACGGGAAGTAAAATCAAAGCAGCTTTTGTTTCGATTTAGAACTTTGTTGGTTCCAAAAAGTTTGTGCGTGTTTCTGACTTCGATGGAGACACTCATAACCTAGAATTTACTGGAATTGGGGCTTTTGTTCCATTTTTTTTTGGGTTTTTTGATTGACAAGAAAACCCCTAAGAGAAGCTTCTGAACCAGAGGTTAGAAGAAGAGAGAGGAAACAGCCTCGTGTTATGCTTGGAGGAGAAATTGGAGAACCAGTCTTCCTGTTTTGGATTTTTGGTTTGGTGATTTTTGTGGTAATCGGGACTATGAAGAATAGTAGCGATGGGCAGCAAAGAGCGCAAGGAGGAGGTGTTGTTTCAAGGTCTGCCCGCAGCTCTTTTCGAGCAATTTCGAGTTATCTGAGGATTGTTTCCGCCGGGGCATCAACGGTGGCAAGGTCTGCCGTGTCCGTGGCCTCTTCGATCGTTGACAGAGAGGACGACTCTAGCCATGACCAGGTACGAGAAGGGGTATTCTGTTTCTTATTTTTGTCAAATGAAAAGATGAAGAGTATTTTTGGGATCCCCGCGTTGATTTGTTGTGTTTGTAGGTATTATAGAGAGTTTTAACGGAATTTGCTTGTATAGTCAGGCACACAATTGTCATGAAATTTGGTCCTACGCAAGAATGATTATTCTGTCAATGAAAGTTAAAACGATATTGACATTTATGATATTTGAACTTACTTTTGGTATGTGGTTAAGAGCTCTATATGGTTCAAAAAGTTTCCACAGGGGTTGAAATTTCAGGTTCAGGGTTTGGACATGACAGTATTAGAATTGCCTTTCTCGATTCCTTTGCAGGAGAAGCTAGGTATTCGTTTGCTTATTCTGGCATTTGTGTTCAATCTAAGGAATTAAATATCAAACCAACGCTATGATAGAAAAATAACCTGAGTCACACCTAGGATCCCTTAAGCATCACATTAAGGTAATTTCTTAGCTTGTTCGGGAGCTTTATTTTGAGGATAAGTAGAAGAAGTTAATGTAGACAGCATATCAAATCTTGTTTTGGAATTTTTTTAAGAGAGCAATTGAGAGTAAAGTTAAGGAAAGAAAGACTTATTGTAAACCTTCCTAGCCCTTGAAAAATTTTATTCAACTTCCAGGATTGGTGGATAGGAGCTGACAGAGTTTTATTAATATTTTTCTATTCACTTTCTTAAATATCCCCACCTTATACGTAATAAAACAACTTTCTTTTAATAGTAAGTGTGTTTTTAACTGGCTTTTAATAAATAAGGGGTATTTTTAACATATTAGCTAACTTCCCACTCTATTTTGTCCTTCGACCAAACAACACTGGAGTTGAAACATTCTTTTACTCTGTTATAATTAACTCCTATCCAGGATGTCCTAAATATTTGTTATCATGAGCTACCAAATTCTTCTTCATGCTCCTCCACTTGTTCCTTTTTGATAAAATCAAAAGGTTCAAAGTTTGTTACTTGTGTAATTTGGAGATTTTGAGCAGCTTGTTCTAGATGAGTGTTTCAAAGTTCTTCCACTAGTGCGTCAGTTGTGCTTGACATTATCTTCAATTTGCCATTTAGAACGCCATGCCTTTGTTTAAGATCGTCAAATTTCGCACTTGTTTTGGCATGGTCACAATTGTACTTGATTAAGCTAGCTGCAACCAGAAACATAGCATGGAAGCTTCAAAAATTTCAGTTTGAAGTGGTGAACAATTGTGTGGCAGAGGCTTGAAGCAGTCTGGTTAAATCCAGTTGTAAAAATGTGAAAACGTAGGAGATATGGTGAACCTAGTGAGTGTTGGAAATTTTGAGCAGCTTGCCAAGCTTATCCTATATGCAAATTCTAAAGTTCTTTCACAGTTGCATTATTGTGCTCGAGATGACCCATTTGACGTTTAAAACTTTATGCTCTTTGTATAAGAGTGTCATATTTTCTTCTTATTTTGGCTATGGTCACCATCATACTTGATTAAATAGGCTGTAAGTCAATAAATACCATAAAAGCTCTGAAAATTGGTTTAAGTGGTGAAAAATCCAGTGGAGAGTTGAACTGGTCTGGTCAAATTCAGTGGGAAAAATGTCAAGCAGATATCTGAAGAATCTTCTGTTTGTTGGTTGCTAGTAGATGTCTGGTCCGGCGAGCAACTCAAATTTATTAGAAGTCTTACTGTCCCAAGTTTGGGATAGCGTTACACTTATGTTGGCTGGAAAGTCCAGTAGGAAGCGCATAGCTTCCTTGTTAGATTTGTGACCTTGACGGCCTATATGATTTAGGGTTGTATGGCAGGACTCTTGATCTAGAGATTAGGTTAATTTAATGTTTTTTTGGATAAAAAGTATGGAAAGTTTTAGTTGTCAGATTTCTTTATTCATGATAGATGCAAATATTTATTGATAGCTATTGCTCCTATAACCTTGGATCCAAAGAGCTACTTCCATAACCAAATCCAAACATAGGCTATACTTGGAATTCTAAAGTAATGCAGGAGGTATTCTTAGGTGCGCTTGTGCAAATGATTAAAGTGAGAATTTAAGGCTTTGTTTGGTATGTGGAAACGGTTTCTAGTTTCTATTTCCCAAATGTATGTGTATTTCGTCAATAAATTATATATATTAGTTACAACGAAGAGAATGATAATGAAAATAATAATGGAGTTTGAAAATCTTAAAAACATTTTTTTAGTGCTCTCTAGAAAATTATGTTGTTTGTAATTCGATTGTTCTACAATATACAACTTTTACATACTTTCGTGTTTCACATGTATAAACACATGAACTTAGAAAATAAAAATTAAAAACTGTTGTCATACACTAAAGGAAGCCCAAGTTTCTTAAAGGTTTGGTAGGTTACTCTACTTTGTATTCTATCTTGTTTATAGATAGAATGTTTAGTTTGAAAGTGGTGGATGCTATTACAGCTTTTCTTATTCAGCTTGCAACTCTAGAGAAATAGAAATATCACAATTTTCAAATTTTTCAGAGAAGTTAAATTCTTAAGGGAGTTAATTTGTTTATCATTTGGCATGTTCAATATGGATTTAAGTGTCTTTAGCATAATCTATAAACTTATGCTAATTATTCTAGCATTTAGAGAAATTTAAGGGAGACTACCTTTTACTTAGGCAACTGATTGAGAAGCAGAACCATTCTGTAAATTCATGCTTTCAAACTTTAGAAATTAATGTGAGACCAATTGCCGATGCTCTACTTGAGTTGACGTGCCTGTTTTGCTTTTATACATGCACGCATTTTCTTTTTTTGTTTGAGTAGAAATATCCATGCATCTTCATTGGAAGGATGGAATGTGAATATGTTCAAGCAAAGTTTTAAGTCAGTCATCATGGTGGTATGGGTTACCTTCTGTTTGGCATTTGTGGTGTTTCTTGTGCTCTGCTGAAATTTCACATTATATATTTACCATAGCACAAAGTCGGCTATTCTAACTGATAGGTACACATAATAATAATTTTGGTTGTTTAGCAAAGGTCGCAAATACTTCATATCCCAGGTTAAACAGTTATTTCGCTCTTTTCTATTACTGTATATCTGTAGCATACTCTGAATATATGAGACAGCTTTTTGTTAGAATCTCTTGGGTAAAAAATTACTTAAAGGCATTTCTAAAATTCCATAAAATATTATTTAGTTTGGTGTTATTAGCATGTGCATGTGCATTTACATTAAGAGAGTTAATTCATGAAAGAATTATTATTTTCATTTAGATTTCTTCAGTCTTAAGAGCTGGGAACGGAGATGACTCAATATATTCTATATCTATGATGTAAAGGTGCTCTGGGCTGGGTTTGATAAATTGGAGGTTGAGGGAGATATTACTCGGAGAGTTCTCCTTCTGGGATACCGATCAGGTTTCCAGGTCTGGGATGTTGAGGAAGCTGATAATGTTCATGACCTAGTTTCCAAACATGATGGCCCTGTTTCATTTATGCAAATACTACCAAAACCAGGACCATCAAAAAGGTCAGGAGACAAGTTTGCAGGCAGCCGTCCGCTTCTGGTAGTTTGCACTGATGGTGCCCTTCCTGGAGGTACAACACGGGATGGGTTAGGCAACACAAATGGGAGCATCCCAAACTACCAGGACCCGGGGGATGGTGGTTTTGCTCCAACTGTCATCCATTTCTATTCCTTGAGGTCTCAATCTTATGTACATATGCTGAAGTTCCGGTCAGTTATTTATTCAGTAAGGTGCAGTTCTCAAATAGTGGCTATATCACAAGCAGCTCAGGTATATTCTCTTTATATATAATAAGTCTTTTTTATATTAACCTTCTGTAGAAAGTTTGATAACTAAGGACATACTTGCAGATACACTGTTTTGATGCTGCAACGTTAGAAACAGTATATACCATACTCACAAACCCAATAGTTATGGGTTGTACTGGTCCTGGAGGTGTAGGCTATGGGCCTCTTGCGGTTGGCCCGAGGTGGCTAGCTTATAGCGGGAGTCCAGTTATAGCATCCAATTCTGGACGTGTTAGCCCACAGCATCTAACACCCTCTGCAAGTTTTCCTGGTTTTAGTTCAAATGGGAACTTGGTTGCACATTATGCAAAAGAATCAAGCAAGCATCTTGCAGCTGGGATTGTGACTCTGGGAGACATGGGATACAAGAAGCTTTCTAGGTACTGCTCTGAGCTTCTACCTGATTCCTATAGCTCTCTGCAGTCGGGGAGTCCTGGCTTGAAAGGAAATGGAACTGTTAATGGGCATCTTGCAGATGCAGATAATATTGGAATGGTACTTACTAACCTCCCTAAGCATTTTTTTTGGGAACTGACATTTGGTTTTTCAGTTAAAGTTTCCCTTATATTATCGAAAGCAACCTTACATATAGGACAGAATTATGTTTGTTTTCCAGCATTGAGCCATTTGCCAAAAGGAGTTGATCATAATTCTTGATGTCTCTTATTTCCTGGATTTATCAGGTCATTGTCAGAGATATTGCGAGTAAAGCTGTCATCACTCAATTTAGGGCACACAAGAGTCCTATTTCAGCATTATGCTTTGATCCTACTGGGACACTGTTAGTGACAGCTTCGGTTCAGGGGCACAATATCAATGTCTACAAAATCATGCCTGAACTCTGTGCAAGTTCCTCTGCAAGAGATACTTCTTCCTCTTATGTACATCTTTACAGGCTTCAACGTGGTTTAACTAATGCTGTAAGAGCAATTACCTTCACCAGTTTTTTGAATTTTAGGATTATGACGTGATCTAATTGGTTTTTTCTCTGGAGAAATTTCAGGTTATACAGGACATCAGTTTCAGTGATGACAGTAAGTGGATTATGATCAGTTCTTCTAGGGGTACAAGCCATCTGTTTGCCATAGATCCTTTGGGAGGAGCAGTGAACTTTCAGTCTGTGGAGGCCAGCTTTACTGCTAAAAATAGTGGATTGGGTGTTACAAATAAGCCAGCCGTTCGTTGGCCTCCTAGTTTAAGTTCCCAAACTCCTAATCAGCAGAATTTTTGCGTTCCTGGTCCTCCTGTTACACTGTCTGTTGTTAGCAGAATAAGGAATGGAAATAATGGTTGGAGGAGCACTGTAACTGGTGCAGCAGCGGCTGCAACAGGCAGGATGAATTCACTTTCTGGGGCCATTGCTTCGTCTTTCCATAAATGCAAAGGAAAAAAAGATTTTTCCACTGAGAATAGCTCTTTGAAGACAAAATACCACCTTCTAGTTTTCTCTCCTTCTGGATGCATGATACAATATGCATTGCGAATTTCCAGTGGTCATGATTCTATGGCAATTGGATTAAGCAATGGTTACGAATCAGTTTCAGAATGTGATGGTAGATTAGTAGTTGAAGCAGTGCAAAAATGGAGCATATGTCAAAAACAAACTAGAAGGGAGAGAGAAGATAATATAGACATTTATGGTGAAAATGGAACATCAGACTGCAATAAGATATATCCTGAAGAAACAAAAGCGGGAAATTACACTTGTCCTGTAGCTCGGGAAGCAGTTAGGAAAACAAAGATCAGTAGTGAGGAAAAATATCATCTGTTCATTTCAGAAGCTGAGTTGCAGATGCATCAACCTCGTTTGCCATTATGGGCAAAACCAGAGGTATGCAATCTTGAGTTGGGAATTATCCAAATTCTTTGCTTTTAAGTCTGACATGTATTTGTTCTTGTTCTATTGCTTGCCAGATAAACTTTCAGTCAATGGTGCTAGATGGTAAAAAGGTAGATGAGGCTAACAGTTTGGGAGGTGAAATAGAAATTGAAAGGATTCCTACTTGCACCGTCAAAGCAAGGTCGAAAGGCCTGATACCAGTTTTTGATTATCTTCAAACCCCCAAATTCCAACAAGCAAGGTGTGGCGGCATTTAATGTGCTTTTTGCCCTTGATGTGTGTTCTTGATATCATTCTACTTAGGGAATGCATTTTGTATTTAGAGAAGATAGGAATTCATAGTTCCTTTAGTTCTTTTTGGCTTTAATTCACTTCATGAAACACTCTTACATTTTCTACAGGCTTCCTTCTGTAGATAGCGATGGCAACGGGCAACTGCAGCATCAGAGATCTGGGGATTCTGAAGATAGCAAACTTTCACACAGGAGCAGCTCGGGCTCCCTTGGGTCCATATCCAATAGTAATGCTGCAGGTGCTGGATCTCACAATGATCTTGCAGGTACTGGATATAATGGCCCACAGACACCAATAGAAACTGTGGGCTTTGTGAATAATGGTAGAGCTAATCGCAAAACTCAGCTTGAGATTGTAAATAATAGAGAGAGCTTAAGGATGGAAGCTCAACTCAACTTTGTAAATAACAAGGAAGGCCTGAAGATAGAGAATCATTTTGAAGATGAAGGCGATCAATTTGATTAGAGGTAATTCTCTTATCCCAGTGTCAATTGTTTTGAGATTTCAAACTGGGCTTATCTATTATCATTTAAATGCCCCATCTAATGCATTTGATCAAGTTATATTGCTTTGTATTTAAATGCCCCATCTAATCCCAGTTTAAATTGTTTGTTATGTTAGTGAGGTTTTGAGATTCCCAATCGGGCTATTCTTGACTAATCTTCTGTCTATCTAAATGCCCATCTAATGCATTTGACCAAGTTGTTGCTTTGCATTTTAACTAGTTGTAGGAAAGCAAATATTTCAAGATTGCACAACTTACATAATTTTAATTAATTTTTTTTTTTTCTAAATTCAGTTTTTATTTTTATGATCTTAAACTAAGACATGCATAAGTTCAAAGTTTTAGTTATGTCTTGGTTATATAATTGTGATTAAAGATATGCACAGGGGAAATTTAGGTTGGCTGTGCAAACAGAGCTTTGAGTACTATATTCATGTACCATGTTTGTTTCATGTGGTAGGGTAGGGGAAGGACTTACCCTACTTGTTTTATATTAGTATTCTATATTTAGGGCTTTATGATTGTTTTCTATATATCTATTCTCTTGCCAAACTATTGCAATGAAAAAATCGATTTCTCACTTACTACATACTACCTTTACTCGGTTCAACTACCAAATCAATGTGGGCGAGGTTTTCTACCCAAATAGAGAGGAGAATGGTAGGGCCATATCTCTTCAACCTGCCATTTCTTATTCATCGTGGAGCATTGGAGGCACTGGCAGTTTAAGAAATAGTTCTTAGCTCTTCCCATTTATTTTATATACACGCACACACACAGAGTTATATCCTTATGATCATTTGCACCAAGAATACTACAACCTGATGCATTTGGTAACATCTTACGACAAGAGGTGATAGAAACTTTTTTGGTCTTTCTAGGGGTTGAATGGTTGGGGGTGGTTTCTGGCTTTTGGAGCCTTAGCTCAATTTCTCATAGATTTTTGCTATGCTTCTTCCCATTACCTATTGCAGTGTTGAACTAAAAAAACTGTGTTTCTTTCTGATTCAGGTGTTCAGTTATTCTTTCATTCTGCTGGAAGGTTCATTAACGGTGTGATACCATGAGTTTGACTATGAAGCGGAATTGTGAATATTATGTTGGTTTTCATCTGTGTTGAGTTTGTAAATAACAAGCCAATATATCCCAAATAATCAGTCTAATATGTAAATAATAGCATCACCATATCACTCACGGTTATGAATTATTCTACTCTACGAATTTTATTTTTTTTTAAACTTCCCATTCTTATGGAACGCAAGTCACTGGTCTTTCTGGATGTTCCGACATTCCCTTTTTTATTTGCATGGTAATACGGTCGGGTACAAACATTTTGGTCAGCTTCTCAAAATGTTCGCTGAATGAATTGTCATATATGCAGTTTGAGATGCGGATTTTTTTATATTTGAGATTTCTCTCTAACCGAATTGATGTGATAATGTACAATTGAGGTTTCAATTGGAATTTGGATGAGACGTGTAGAATCTAGAAAACATTCATGGTACTTAATGTATCAAACCTCTTTCAGTTACTAGAAGAGAAAAACTTACTCTCCTTTCTTTTTATACCCCCTACAGTCTCTCCCACCCAAACCTAACGTAAAACATTTTAACAGCTGAAGAAAACAGGAAATTTCAACTAGGAATATGCTTAGACTGTTTGTAACACCCGCCAAAACTTTTTTTTTTTTAATTAATAAATATAATTATTTATTTATTTAATTTAATTTATTATATTATATTTTATTTTAATTTAATAAAAAAGAATAAAATTTATTAAGAAATAAATTAAAAATAATTTTGGAAAAAAGGGGTGAAAAATTAGGTTTGGAGAGTATTTTTTAAAGAAAAATTAAAAATTGGAGGTCAAAACGTAATTTAAAAAAATATTGTCACGTCAGACGCCCGGTCAGCAACTCCGACCAACCAGGACGCGCCAAGTGGCAAAGGCGCTGAAGCGGGAGGCTACGTGGGCGAGCTGCGTGCGCGCGATCGAACGGTTGAATTCCGTTCCTACGCACACGGACGACCGAGAGTGAATCGCGCATGGATGGTTCAGATTGAATCGCGATGAACGGTTCAGATTTACTCCTTATTTAATCGCGATCGGACGATCCAAATCAAAAGCGAATGAGTATAAATAATCTCATCCGTACCCAAACCCTAACCCTAGGCGCCAGAACCTCTCGTCGGAGAAGACAACCCAGCCGTCGGGGAGCCGACCGCCACCACCTGCCGCTGCACTGGAACCCTTTCTGACCACCAAAAAAGGTAAAAATTTCTCATTTTGCACGAAATTCAATTTTAAACCCACCCATGACCAAATTGGAGTGAAAGAACTGGCTAATTGGCTGAAAAACATCGACGAAGCCTAGCGGCGCCGCTGTTGGAAATTTCACAAACTGCCTCCGATGAAACCTTTTCTGATTCCTGTTTCGCATAATTTTTTCACCGTTGTGATCACTGTTTTCTTCTCTACAAGTTGACAGAAGCGAAACACCTAACTGCAACGTGAGCCAGAGGAGCCGCCGCACCGGAGAGCCCTGCCGCTGGTGAGTTTCGATATTTTATATTTTTTGGGTTCATCGAGGCCTTTTAGCGTATGTGCTCGCAGGAGTTGATGCAAAATCGACTGAATTCGGCCAAAAACGGCCGACCCGAAGCGGACCGCTGCCGTACTAGATTTTCAAAATTGGCCGAGTGGGTCTTAAGACTGATTTTGGGTTTATTTGGAACATTTGTAGGTATTATAAGCGCGTTTCAATTCCTGGAGAAAAATTTAGGGAACCCAGGGACCGCCCGTAGGTACAGTAAACCGTTTAGCTTTTCGGCGTCAAATCGAGTAAGGACCCTTCACCCTATTTCCTATCATAGAATTGAAATTTAAATAAATAATAATACGATATTTTATACAAATTAAATAGATGTGCATAATTAATTACGGATTGCTAATAGAGCTCGAACCGGACATTGTTCTCTGTGATTTATTTTACAGTATAAAAGCATAATAATATCTGATTTATCTATTTTATGGTTTAAATGCATGTATTACTGTCTTAACTGACCACTGTTTGATTTGAGATTTGAGACATGATTGTATTATCGGATGCATGTTTATTTGTTTATGTGATTATGTTTGATTTGGTAATGAAGACTAAAGAAAAACAGAAAAAGGGGTGTGATCAAATAAATAGATAGAATGACAAACTTCCTAGATATCCTGGGAGATGGTGGACGGACCGGGTACATAGGGAATCCTACTGTAAACGTTGTCTCATACCGGACGGGGTATGGAGACTTGGTAATTTGACACTCATAACGGACGGGGTATAGGGACAACCCGCTTCACCCTCATATTGGACGAGGTATTGAGGTTTGATATCTTGACATTCATACTGGACGAGATATGGGGACGACCTTGTAATTGAGATTGTTAAGGAAAATGGTTCACGTGTAGAGGGGACATCTCTATGAACCCCCATGGATACTAGTAGGCTGGTAAAATGAGAAATGGTTATGATTTAGTTTATTGTTAATGGATATAAATTTATGATATATTCTATGTTGTTGGGTGTTCATAAAATTATGATATGTATGGTACTATTGTCTCTATAGGTTATTTTCATAAATTCCATTACGGTAAGTGAACGATAAATAGTTTTATGATTGATAAACGAAATTGATAAATTTAGTGCTCCATTAGTTGTTTTGATTTTATACCAACATTTACTTCTGTACCAGCGATATAATGTGATATCCTTACTGGGTTAGTGTAATTCATCCTTTATTTAACTATTTCAGATCAAGAGGACCTGGTTCCAGAGTCCGATCCGCAAGAAGATTGCGAGTAGATGCTAGATACTTTCTATTTTTTATTATTTTTCTTATTTCTCGTGTTTCTTTCAGAGAATTCATTCCGTAATGTTGTTCAATACTTTTAAATTATTATGTAAGGGATGTAAGATCTTAACATTTTGTTTCGCTTCCGCACTTAAATTATTACATATTTCTTTTTGGATTTCCGGGGCCGTTACACTGTTTCTGCTTGATAGTTCTTTATTAATTATCACCAGACTAAATGGAAAATAAAATTCAAACTCGAGTTGATAATTCTAAAATAAAAACATTATCCGACATGCTTTTGGAAACAAACTATATAAATTAAGAAGAAATAATATTAAATTATTATTAAACAAAACAAAAATCTAAATGTAACACAAGTTGAGAAGCAACAATAACACGATTTTCAGAATCTTCATTGGGTTTGGAATCTCTCTTAGAAACAGAATTTAGTTTCATCATCTTCCCATCCAAGGTTATTCCACCTTCTAACTCTCCTCTTATTTCTTTAATGGTTAATAATATATTGTAAACAAAGCGTTATGGACAAATTTATAAGATTTAAATAAGATATTAAAGTTCAATTAAATACGAAATTCTAAGTAGCATTAAATTTTTAAATAGTAAATATGAAATCCTAATTAATATTATATTCTTAAATAGGATATAATTTTTTATTAATATTAAATTTCTAAATAGTGTAGAATTTTCAATATTTTAGTAGGATATTCTTAATTAAATTAAAATTTCTAAATAAAAATTATAATCTTTATATAAAAGGATATGCTTACTATTAATAAAATAAGTCAGAATATTATTTAAACTACAAGATTGGAGCTCTTTGTAATGAGATCCAAGATAGTAGCTCCATTTGATGAGGCATAATATATTTTCACAAACTAGATCACTCTTACAATAAGAACAAAAATGTTAACAATTTTTTAGAAGACGACTTTATTGTTAACCGCCCGGTGACAAGATCATGATTTCAAGAACATAATAAATTGGTATCAGAACCTAACATAATAGGCGACTCTGCAACAAAAGAATATTTGCAATTGTTGCTCCAAGAAGCCCTAATCGCAAACGAAGCATGGACCATAGAGATTGAAAGGTGATTGAGCAGCTAGTTGCAGGAGTTATCCAAACAAATCAAAGGGATACTAGTCAGCTTTAATCATGATAGACAAACAGAATCAGAAGGAACTGCAAGCAACAACCACCTTCGGGAACAACCACCTCAAGCACTTCACACCGAAAGTCAGTCGCAAAATGCAAACAATCATCCAGGTAATGGAGTCGTTGCCCGCTGCACCAAATTAGACTTTCCAATGTTCGATGGCTCTGAAGATCCTCTAATATGGTTGCATCGATGTGAGTAGTTTTTTGCCAATCAACACATGCTGGAAAGAGGTAAGGTGGGATTGACCGCCTTCCATATACTTGGAGAGGCATAACTGTGGTACCATCAGTTAGAATCTGAACAACCTACATTCAACTAAATTGAATTCAATAACTAGTAAACTTTAAACAGACGGGATCGGTTGCAGACTACCAGAGGCAGTTATAAGAAAAACTAGCAAGAACAAATAAGTTCATTTAGATTGATCAACATGTAAGTTTGTCACAAGAGATTGAGAGATTTCCTCTGTTTAGATGTCGAGGTGCAATCACCCATATGGCCCAGAGGTTTAAAAGGAAACAACAATTGTAGGATATGACCGAACATAATTATAGTGATCATTCTCAGTTCATAACCAAGCTTAACATTTCAGTTAAAAAAATCGACTCCATAGAACAGCAACGTTACAACACAATCTGGTAACACTTCATCTCTATTTATAAAAAAATTAATAATGACAAAGATGATAGAAATGAGGCTAAAGGGGTTGTGCTATAACTGGAATGAACTATTTGTTCAAGGTCATTAATGTAAACGACTGTTTTGTCTCGAGATGAAATGCGACCTTGGTCCTGAACAACAAGAAAAGACCGAGAAGAAAGCTATATCCACATATCAAGCTTGTGGACAAGTTTGAAGAACAGAGGGAGTAATATTATGAACGAATTTATAAGACCTAAATAAGATGTTGAAATTCAATTAAATATGAAATTCTAATTAGTATTAGATTTCTAAATAGCATATTATTGTTCATTAATATTAGATTTTTAAATAATATATGATTTTTAATATTTTAGTAGAGTGTTCCTAATTAAATTAAAATTTCTAAATAAGAATTATAACTTGTATATAAAGGGACATACTTGTTATTAATAAAGAGAAGTCAGAATATTATTTTAAATTAGGAGATTGGAGTTCTCTCTAACAATGTCAAAGGTAGCAGCTCTCTTTGATGAGCTGTAATCTATTTTCACAAAATAAATCGTTTTTGCAATAAAAATAAGGGTATTAACTATTTGTTAAAAGACAACTTTATTGTTAATCACCT